GCCGTTTCTTATCTACACTGCTGTTTGTGCAGATAACCAAAGGAGCGTATCAGCTGCTGCAAACAGTGGCCCAAACATACGAAACACAATTTCCTGCCTGTAGAAAAAGGAAAATATGTGAGAGAGTCTTAAAAAAACAAGCAAAAAGCAAATGTGATGTACTCACGATGAAGCCAAAGACCACAGTGGAGAAGAAACCTCCGATGAAGCCCTCCCAGGTTTTCTTGGGCGAGAGCTGCAGAGACAGAGACAGAGGACGTCTTTCACATCAGCGTGACATGTGGTATTTACTCAGCCTCACCGCCACCTACGTGTGATTTAAAATAAACCTCCTCTCCTCCCTCTGACTTACTGAAGTCTTCTTCTGTGGATAAACATGCAGCAGCAGCAGCAGCAGCCGCCGCCGTGGAGTTCAACGTCCAAGAGGGATTTATTTAAGAATGGGGTTCTGGGAGTTATTTATTAGCAGAGTTATCTGACTACAACACTGCTGGATTTGATGTAGAATGACCGAGCATGCACGTGTAGGAGTAATAATAATAATAATATTAATAATAATAGAGTCAGACCCAATCAACCCCAACCATATGTTCATGGTCTGCCCTGACATCTAGTCTCACTTGGACCAGGAAGCAACGACTGGCAAGAGTCCAGGAGGCGTCCTGATCCGCCACCAATCTGAACATCCTCCGCTGCTCAGATGTGTCTGTCCGACAACACCCCCAAAAATAATCAGGTGCAACACGATGCAACCTCTGCGAATACGACTCTGAGGACGGACTGGGCTCACACTTCAGTTACAGCGGCCTCTGCACCACGTCCTCTAACCAAAACATCTCTTTAGGACAGAGTCACGATGTCTCAGACCGGGACTCCCGACCAGTCAGCTGGACCAAAGATGGACGGAAAACTCTTCAACTCATTTAGGTAAATTGTAATATACATATAGGTATATTACCTTGTATGTAAATCTCTCTCGCGTGTAATTATTATCAATGAGATGATGTTCGATTTACCTTGATCAGTGGAGTCCTGCCGAAGAAGAACCCAAACAGATAGGCCATGATGTCATTACAGATCACTATGGAGATCGGGACGATGAACCTGGAAAACAGGAATTTCAACAAGAGTTGAGACGCGACAGAGGAAACGACAGCAAACCACAAAACTAAAATCTGATCAGTTCTTACTGAAGAAGAAACTGTAAAACTAATTACTCTAATGTTTTACTTATTTGGATGAAAACTGATTTTCACAACATAGCTTTAACAGAATGTGTTTTATTTCTAGCTCGACGGCAGCGAACACAGCTGCGACGACACAAACTGTATGTGGTGACTGTCGAGAGAGAGAGAGACACAACGAGGCAGGTTCCTCTGGTCTGTGTTGTCCGTGTCCTGCTTACCAGATCATTCCTTCAAACAGGTTCTGAATGACAAGGTGGGACTGAGTTACCACAATCAACAGGGTCACATGGGTCCAAGCAAACTGGAATGGCAAACACAAACACAAAACAGCGTCACTGCACCGGAATGTCGCCGCGCCCGCTCAGGAGTCGGCTCGTGTCACAGATGGCGGGGTCGTACGGACAGACAAAAAAAAAAAAAAAAAAAAAGAAACGAGACGAGGTTGAGGGAGCGCTGACAGAGGCGAGGAGAGAGAGAGCAGAGAGAGAGAGAGAGAGAGAGAGAGAGAGAGAGAGAGAGAGAGAGAGAGAGAGAGAGAGAGAGAGAGAGATGACATCATGACAAATAAATACAGGAGTGTGTGAAGTAGGAGCAGCAGGTGGAGAAGCTCAGCGTCACAGATGCATCAACACATATTCAAAGGTTCGTGCAACAAAATCATTAAAAATAAAATAATTTAAATAAAAAACAGCAACACTGCAGCAGCATTGTGAAATCAGGAAATTCAGCTCATTTGCAGACTTTTATTTACTTTTGGGGAAATTATCATTTTTTAATAAGTTGCCACTTATTAAAAAAATGATAATTTCCCAAAATTAAGGCAGTTTGTATAAATCTGCCTGCAAAACAATTTATATAAAAATAAAAACTCAATTAGTCATTAAATGCAAAATAGTCAGTAAAGTTAGTTTGGGCCAATGAAATGTGGTGCACAAAAAAAAAAAAAAAAAAAAAAAAAGGTGCAGAGAAAGCAAAACAGACGTATGTGAGGTGAAATGAAGCTGACGCCATTGCAGAAGACCTGCGTTTATCCACGATCAAATTGTGCGTAGTAATGTGAGCAGTGATACGGTTCAACAAGAGGGAGTAAAGACTTCTGCAATGGCAGCATCACAGCACAAAATGAGTTTTCCAAAAATCTTCTCGGAGGGAGTGGGAGGCAGTGGAAGGGGATGATGGAGGAGGAGGAGGAGGATGGAGGATGGAGGAGGAAGAGGAGAGGGTTACTTGGCTGATACACACCATATAAAACTGCAGGCGGTAATGTTTCTTCACTAAACTCAGCACAAACATGCAGAAACCTGTGAAAGAGTAGATAACATGCTGTCAGCGTTTACTCCCAGATACAGAGTAGATATTAAATAATCATAACAATAAACAAATGATAAATAAATACATATATATTGTATGGGGAGGAGTGTGTAGCATGCCGGTGACTGAACAATTTTCTTTCACACAAAACATCTTTAAAATCGCGTGACTATGCAGATTTTACACTGATTTGAATTCAGGCTTGTGATTTCACACTGAGGGGGCTGTCGGCTGAAAGCTCCTGTGTCAGGTTTGTCCACGTGAACCTGGGAAGGCCCCCGGGGGAGGGGGAGGGGTTGGGGGGGGGTGTTGGATGGGTGTGGAGCTGTTACTGCCAACACACTGAGAATTGGCTGTCTGCTTCAGAGTGTCCCCGGGGTTTCAAACCGCAGCTGACGTCTGGCCGGGGCCGCTCGACTGAAAGACAACTGTGTCAGCAAGACTGAGGGAGAAGCGCGTTCACCCCGCTTCAGACTCTCCGACTAACCGCCGAGATATCAGCGGACAGAACCTCCATTCATCCCAGAGGGAAACCTCCGCGTCGCAGCAGCAGCATAATGAAAGTCGAAGTGCTGCTGCTGCGATCCCCGTCATCAGAGAAGTGCAATCCAACAGGAATGAAGTGAAATCTTCTGCAAATGCAAAGCGTGTATTCAGATTAATTTACAACAATTTTAATGTCTGCCCTTGTTTTCTCTTAAATATATTGTACGAGCCCAGTTGTTGGTTTGACGTCTTCTTCCTCGTTTGTGCTCGGAGAGACGTCGCAGCACAGGAGAGGGGTGAAGACTAGCGGGGTGTCGTGTTTAAATCACTGCCGATCGATCGGCCGATAAATCCCCTACGTCTACTGCACAATCATCCGATCATCTGACCCGGGGGTGAATTTCTAAGTGGGTTTTTTTAACCAGTGTGAAAGCGGCTTAAAAGTCCTAATTAAGGTGGGATTGATTCATCACTGCATTACCACAGAATGATAAGGTAAATGACAGGATGTCTCCTGAGTTTAAAGGAGCTTCCAACTGCAAAAAGCTTATTACTAACATGCAGTATTTTGTACATTGTACCATAAATAAGAGATCAATCGATCTGGGGTTTTTTTATAGCTAATGGAGGGAAGTTTAAAAACTCTTCACATTGTAAAACTCTGGGACATTAAAGCAGCATTTGCTTCTTCAAACACACACAGAAATGTAAACTATTTAAAGTCTATGGTATGCTGCTGAATGTGTTCAGCTAGAGTTCACTAAAGTTTATCCTTTTATACTTGTCAACAGCGCTAAACAAATAAAATTCATCATTGTTATAATTGTGGAAAACTTGTTAACCACCACTTCCTTTTACACACAATGCATGCGGATCTTTAGTTTACCGAGAGTCCAGATAAAAGCCGCAGCTCAGTGTTTTATGACACATCCGGCTGCAGCTTAGCAGAGCAATCAACCGACCTATCAGCAAATAAAAGCTTCAGGAAACTAAAGTTAAAAGAAAGTTTATATTCTAAGTTCTCCCTGAGGTTTTTGTTTCTCCCACGTAATGTTTGTTTGTAACTCAACTCCACCATACACACAGTCAGCTGAAACGTAATCCACCTCTTTCAAAGAAAACATGAGCGGGAGCAGAGGGACCAAAGAGCGTGTGTGCATGTGTGTGTGCATGTGTGTGTGTGTGTGTGTGTGTGCATGTTCGGAGATACAGGACTCAGTATTGTCTCGAGGGGTGAGAGTCACCTGCGAGGTACAAAGCAAAAGAGATGAAGCGGTGATAGCGAGCCAGAAACTGCAGAGGCTCCTCCCTCTGCACCAGAGCCCCGAAGTAGTCCGCCACGGTTTCACCATAGAAGAAGTAGTTGACGCAAATCAGGAAGTACCTGAGACAAAAGAGACGGAGGGGATTAGTTTTTGTTGACATGTTGTTTTTGTTATTTTGGGTTTGGTTTTGATGAGAGTTTACTTTATGAAAGAGTTTGTAACTTATGTATTAAAACAAAAAGCTTCCCACTGTACATTAACCTGCTGCGTGTGTTTGTGTGTGAGGGGCTGATATGACGTGTGGCCTTGGTGAACGGGGCAAGTTTCAATTAGCCTTCATTTACTGCCAGCATGGCAGTGATCTTTGCTCCTGCCGTGTGTGTGTGTGTGTGTGTGTGTGTGTGTGTGTGTGTGTGTGTGTGTGTGTGTGTGTGTGTGTGTGTGTGTGTGTGTGTAAAAAGGTGACCTGTTAACAAAAACACTGGAACAGAAACAGAAGCAAGCTTAGGCTCTGCGCCTAGGTAACTACCTGCAGACGAAGCTGAACTGAGTCAGCGTTTCACTGGAGGAAGAGCAGAGTTAAACGACTGGAGAAATGAGAAATACTGTCTGTTTTCTAACTTATTTAATCTCCTTATATACCATTAAAGCATAAAGACGGCTCAGAATGAACACACCTAACAATGGCCTGGGTTTTTATTCCTTCTCAGTACTAGTGCTGATACATTATTGAGCTTCTGTACTTTAAATTAAAACTTATTTTTCTGCAAAACACGTTTTTTCTTATTTGCCACATAGAAACTAAATGTCTCAAATTTTCAAACGTCGTCTTCACACAAGCACTTGACTTAAATCTGGAGCCCGATTGATCAAAGGGTTTACTGTCTTTGAAATATTTGATGACACAGACACGGTTTGGTCACCACCAAAATGAATGAAGTGTTTTATGTGTTTGAAAGCAACCCCCGGTGTAAAAGCATCTTCTGTCAGTACTTCCCGATATGATGTATAGTGTGTATCTGACCTAACAAAGCTTTGTTTTCCTGGAACATCATTTGCTGCGTTGAGATTTGAGCTGAAACTAAAAAAGTTAAAATCCTGCAGTGTGCCGCTCTTTCAGGGGTAAAAACATTCTCCGTTCATAAAATATTTCACTGTGAAATCCTTTTCTCCTTACCAGCTGAGAGTCCTGAACCAGGGCAGCTCGTAGGAATGGTAAACCCTGTAGCCAATGGTGATGATTTCTTGGAAACACTTGATTTGGACCGTCATGACCTACATCAGATGACAGGAGCAGCAGCACGACGGGAAATCCCAGACAAATTAATCATAAAAAATAGAGAAAACGCAGTAGGATGGATGCAGCTTCAGTTTCACTCGTTGCCACTTACCACTAATATAAGAGTGACAGGTCCCATATAGATGATGAGGAAAAAGCCTGAAATCATGGCTAAAGACAGAACCCCTCGTATCCAGTAGTTCTTCCATCTGTGGAGAATGGAAACTTTGAATTAGTGATATTTTTCCTTCTTCTTCACATAAATATTTCATCAATTCATTTATGTTTCATTTGAATTTTCTGTCCAAAAAAAAAAAAAAAGGGAGAGAAAAGTATTTCTGGATTTTTCAGTTATAAAACACGGACTGCATGAAATTCAACATTAGAGCCATGAAATTGTAATAGTGGATCACGATGAGCAAGAGTCTTTGACGTTACACAGCTGATGTGCTTATTTATATCAGCTGACTGGTTGGAGTTAAAGGGGCGGCAGAGAGAGAGAGAGAGAGAGAGAGAGAGAGAGAGAGAGAGAGGAAGCCCCGAGGCGTTTGTCAGTGGCCATGTGGTCATAGCTGCTGCTTTTATAACATTTCAGATTCATCATCTGGACACCGTGAATGTCTTTCTGAAATTTCACGGCAACAGCTCCAGTAACTCTTGGATTACAGTATAGTATATACCGATCTTATGATCTTACTCTACCTGCTTTTGATGAAATCGATTTCAATCTTTTTTTTCTCCGACGTCACGGTTTGGAAATCTATCTTTAAAAGAGCAGGAGTTCTCTTAATCAAAATTGTTAAAACTCTAGGTCTAGTGGAGCTGATCGGTGAGTCGCAGCTTAACCTCAGCATCACCTGCACACCAGACAGATACAGCTGGCTCCGTTTTAAATGACGACCCGCACACCTTCGAACGGTGAGATTCAGCTTCTTCCTTCAGGAGTGCAGAACAAAAACGGTACAAAAATAGAGCTTTGTTCCAGCAGTCATCACTCATATGAATAAGTTGTAGTAACACTGAATAGAAGCAATGTTTAATTAATCAATTTATTTATTTTTATTTAGCTTGTGCACATGATGTTTTTTTGTTTTTTACTGCAAAGCAAGTTAAAATGTCTCAACTTTACAGCAGAAATAAACATGTTTACAGCCTGGTGCAAAAAAACAGTTTCAGTCTCTAGAGCTAATTTCCTCCTTCATGACACCTGTTTATACAACTCACCTGTTCACATTTTATTAAGGCTTAAAGTTACGCATTAATTGAGGGCGTGGCCTCTTTGAGTGACAGGTGGGTGAGCGTATGCTTGCCATAAACCGGCATCATGCACCGAAGTCTCAGCTCCACACACGCCCCTAGGAGTTAGCGGCAGAGTCAGGCACTGCCAAGATGGCGACGGCGGAGCAGCTCACTCTGAGCTTCAAAACCGCTCTGCAGAAAACCTGTGGGTGACGTCACGGAGGCTGGACCATAGACTGCGGGCCGCGGGCCGGACTACCCACACAGTCGAGTGAACGACACTGCGGTGAAGCACAGGTGAAGTCTGCATCCTTTTCTTATCAGGTATTGAGGTGTTGTGGCTGATTAATTATCTAAACCTAACAACAATTCATTTAGTCAACCTGAGGCCTGTGTTTTTCCCCCAGCACCCGTCATGCAGTCGGGTCGGTGTCGCTGTGGGACGGACCGCTGCATGGCGTGCTGCCTGGCGTGCTGCCTGGCGAGCAAAACAATAGAGAGGAAACAACTGAAAGCTGCACAGGAGCCAAGCAGGGCCGAGAGGCTGCTGCCTGCTGTATGAATGGAGCAGAAAAACAGCTGCATCATGAGAAAAAAGCTGCTGCTGCTGCTTCCACTCTGCTCTGTGCTCTCTCTCTCTCTCTCTCTCTCTCTCTCTCTCTCTCCATCCCTTCATTCATTCACTTTCTCCCACTGAAACTTCCACCCTTCCTCCTCCCGTCACCTTCAGGTCACTCCATTCATCCTTATCTCATGAGTCATCTTGCTCTTTTCGCTAGTTACGTTCATTCCCCACCATCTCCCCTCCTCCTCCTCCTCCACTGCACCTTCCCCATCCCTCCATCTGTTTCTCTTCTATCCCCCCCCCCTCCCCCCCCCTCCGCAGTGTGTTCATCCACAGGTCTCTCTGCAGCACATCAGCTCCAATGCCGTTTCGAGCCCGCAGGGATTAGCGCTCCCCTCTTCATGAGCCTTTAAGCCCTGTGACCTGGCCGTCACTCATTGGTCACGCCCTCCGCTTTCTCATCTGCGTTTTCGAACACGGCCTCCTCCCGTGCGCTGTTCAAGGTGCCGCCGCAGAACCTCCAACGCCAAACTGTGCGACGGTGCTTCTTCTAATGGTCGATTGTGGAGAGTTTTAACTTTGCATCTCTAAGACTTTTACTTTGTTGTGTTTATGTTGAAGTTGTGGCACTCGACATTAGAGTCTTGCACCTGCTGAACACGCCGCTATTCTCCACGGAAACCCGCCATCGTTGCCACACCTAAGCGTTATTCTGGTCCTTGACACAATGACAACAGTTTTGCTTGCATGAAATAAAAAAAAAAAAAGGTTGTCAGCACACACACACACACACCTTTCTCACACCTTGACATTCAGATCCAGGTGAGTAAGTAACACGGTTCAGTGACTTGTACAAGGTGTGTCAGCTGAGGGAAACTGGATTTGTTTTTGTTTTTTCTTCCTCACAGGCCGACTTCTCTCAAAATCTACAAACTATTTTAGCCACCGTGACTTATTATTACCGTCCTGTTGAGCTTGTTTATTCATATAAACATACACAATCATAGCAGGGTGACAGGAGAGTCACCTCACTCACTCTACTGCTCTGAAACACCTAAAGTTGGTTTGCTCTGCTCCGATTCAGCTCACGAGTTTGTAAAAATTGTCGAAATTTCGGTTTGTTTTCACACAGAGAAAAATTCCTGAACATTCCTCTCCTCTCCTCTCATTGGTCAGACTGTCGTGGCTGGAGCAGGGAAGCGAACACCAAAGACAAACCGCTCCAGAGCTCGTTTGGGACGGGAGCGGTGTGATCGTTCTGGTCCGCACCCCGAGTGTGATTACTGTTTTCACAGCCGCCCAAACGAATCGCACCGAGGGGGAAAACCAAACCAGGTTTCAGTGGAACCGGACTAAAAAGTGTCTTATTCCCCCACATCTGGCGTTTTGATGATGGCGGTGGAGAGCGCCAGCACCTCAGTTTAGGTTGACTGGTGACTGCGAAAGCCATAGCGACCATCGCATCATTTTTCATACTCATCAAACCATCAGTGACGCCTCGTGCCCTGTGGACGGGGCCACTATCATCCCTCACAGGATAAAGGTGATCACTCAGAACAACTCTGTATTGATTTGCAGTTTCCCTTCTCTCTGAGGGAACGCATGGCCCCGGCAAAACGCCTCCCACAGCAGAACAGAGCCACCGGATCCCCTCCCTGTAGGGGCCAAGCTCTCAGGCCTGTACCGTTCTCCTGGTGTTCGCCACACACCTGTGGAGAATATGGCGAAGGATGACTCAGCTGCCGGCATCTCCATAGACACAGTGCCTTTGGTTTCTGCACCACTGAACATTCATGTAATGAGAGGTTTATGTACTGTAACCCTACTATAATATCTCTATATGATATTGCTCTCGCTGACGCAGTGCGATCACGTCCTGCAGTGACATTCTCACTCAACCTGAGTGAGAGTCGCTCTAATGCACGAGCATCGGATGCACGCCGTCCACAACAATGTCCGACCCTATTTACTTGTTTTTCACGCGGATCTAAATCCAGATCGCAGTCACCGTTCCTCTTGAAACACACACTGTAGACCCAACAATAAACCCTCTTCCAAAGTCACTTAGATCTTTTCTTCTTGCCATCTTGATATAATCTATTTCTGGTCCAATTAACCTTCATGCGCAGGGGAAGGATGATCAATCACACTGTCGGGGTCTTTGCATGAAATATGGAGAGGAAACCGCTTGTTACAGAAACATTACGGCTGAAGTAGCCGACATATACTCAACGCCTCGGGCACCGAGTCATCTGACCTGCACATTTTATGCTCCGTTTTGCACATTTTATGCTCAAGAACTTGAACCCTCGAGGCTGAAGTTTACATTTTGGTTCACAGTCGAGCGGCGGACCACGGCGCTTCGGTCTGCGACCATCTTAGACAGAGTTTAGACTTGCATTTGTTTCTGTGTGGCAGGATCAAGCTGCAGAGGAATTTTTCTAAGCCGTGACAACTGCAGGATGCACTCGAGGAACAAAACGACAGCTGTTGGCATCCGTCTCGTGAGCATGTGTGTCGTACCTGGGCGGCAGGCCCTCCAGAGCTTTGTTCAGGCATTGTGGAGTGTTGTCTGTGTCTGCTGTGGAGAGAGGAACATCTGGAGTGTCTGGTTTGGAGTCACCGTCACACTCTCCCTCTGCGTCGACTTGCAGGCCCAACCTGTCGTCACTGTCGGCCTCCTGCCAGAACACACACACACACACACAGATATTCAAATAGTGACTTAAGATAGCGAGTGTTCACCTGACACACGGGTCGGTGTAGAAAGCACGGGCAGACAACAGGGCAGTGTGCACAAGGTGATAACAGAAAAAAGGGAAATAGTTAAGCATCATCATCATCCTGTGAAGGAAAAGAGATGAGGAGGGACACGGCGAGCTGCGAGCGCTCCTGCGAATGATGCAAACGACAAGTAAATGTTGAGGTAGTCAAATAGAGTCCCGTCTAAACGGAGGCCCCGAGCGGGCGGCTGAGAGGAGGAGGAAACTACAGAAGTGCTGCCGTGTGTCCTCGAAGCTTGGCGGGGATTCAAGTAGGTCTGCAAGTAACTGTGGAGGAACACGTGGGTGTGTTTGTAATTTCCTCTTTTAAAACCAGCGGCAGCCTCGAGGAATTCAAAACCATCCGAGCGTCAGTGACCTTATCTCCACATAATATCTACTGAATTACAACTGTGAGGGAAGGTAGAAGCTCCTTCTTCACGCTCCATGAGACACTCCACACTTCGTTTTGTTGCCTTTACAGTACTCACATGTTTCTGCAGTACTGTGAAATATATTTATATCTTTTATATATGAAATATCTAATATCTAAACATCCACTTTAGGTAAGGTAATCTGAACATTATAATTCCATATTCATCATATTATTTAAACCAAACAGAATCTGCAAATTGCACTTTAAAAAAAGGAGAAAGTTTGAGGATTACAGGCCGAGCACCGAGTGAGCTGAAAGTTTAACACCTGGTGTCAGCAGGTTAACAGGCTGCTGCTCGCGGAGCCAAACATCTTTAATAGTGTTAATGAATCTTTAATCTGGATTTAACGCAGCAACAGACGCAGCCTCTTTAAAAAAAAAAAAAAACAGTCAAATCTAACGCTGTGTGTTCACTTTATACAAAACCTGTTCTTCAAATCCGTCCTGGGTTTGTTGCTATAGTTACAATTTGAGTCATAATTTACTTTCTGGAGACTTAATTCACCTTCACACTAAAAAGGTACATTTATTTTTTCTCTCACTTGCTAATGTAATATTATTTGATTTCAGTGATTTCTTTCAAGTGCAAATAGGGTCATCATTTTAACACTTCACCAATCTTAATTTAAAAAAAGTGCACTTGAGTTTACAGTAAACAAAGTTATAAACAAAGCAAACAATTTACAACTCAGCACATGATAACACATAAATAATTGAAGGATAAACTACAGCGTTTTCAAAATTGTAGAAGATATATTAATATTTTTCTATCGATTTTTCTTGTTTTTCTAAAATCTAAAAATGACCTGAATTAATTAAGATAAATACGATTAAATTAAATTAAAATAACAAGCCTTTTTTGCAGCCATATTTGTGAAAATCAACACATCAGGATTGTTGGCTCAGCCCGACGCTCTACCATCATTAATTAGTAAGTGAAGTGACATCCCAGATATTAAGCCCAGCATTCAGCTCTTCAGTTACACCAGTAATGGTCGATCGTGTAACAAAGCAGTGAGTGGAGAAGCTTTTTCTCTCCTGAACGAGTCTATTTTTTAAAACCAAGAGAAATTCCTCCTGAGCTCACACACTCATTGTGGGAGATTAAGTTTCCTTTTTGCGCTTGACGGCCTCGCCGACGCTCCTGGAAAGTTGTTTCCTTTCATGGTCGCTTTTGCTGAAAACGTGGCTAAATACGGTGAACGAGGGGGGGGGGGGGGGGCATCAGGGTTTAATCAGAGAGCTTCTTTCGTTTAGAAAATGGTCTCTGATCTCGGCCAGATCTTATAATTAGCTTGGGGGAGCGCTTGAAAGTCGGAGCAGGTCTGGGCTGAGAAGGAGGGAGAGGGTCACTTGAGTTGCTGCTGGAGTTCAGAGGAGAAGAGGTTGTAATTGTAGATATCTACTCAGGGTTTTAATGAGGAAAGGCTGAAACAGTGGAAGGCTGCAGGGTCCTGTCTGTCTGACTGCTGGTTACATACCTTGACTGAAAAGGAAAGAACACAACAGAGTTGGAAGATTCACCTGACACGAAGTCAAAGACACGAGCCACATGTATGTAGATGGTTCGACTATTTATCAGTTCTCTCGGTAAATAAAAATAATCATATAAAAACAGGTATCAATCTGCCAGACATTATACACCTGCAGAGCAGCAATCAACCGGGAGATTTATATATTAAAACGAGCTGCGACGACTACTTGATTAATAGTTGATTATTTGATAAAAGAGAAAATTAATCTGGAACTATTTGATCATTTTGAAGCTTCTCAGATGTGATGATTTGCTGTCTTTCTTTGTAACTTAATTATAACATGAATATTATCTCGGGCTTGGGGATATTACAGTGGCCTTGAATATTTACTCTATTGGTGAAATGACATGACAAACAGGAAGAGAACGTAGAACATAGTGGCCGCCTTTCACTATTTTTCTGACATTTTACAAAACAATTAATCGATTAAATGAATATATAAACTTTGAATATTTGATATTGTTCCAAAAAAGTGCAACTGGTTTAAGGTGTAATATTATCCATCTTGCCCTCATTTACTGTCCTCTTGTTTTTCATCAGTGTGTGTGATCATTTACAAATTCCTTTCAATCAATACCTTGCCCACAAGTTAGTCAGTTTTTAGGGTGTGTTCAGATAGAAAGTAAAAGGGAATGTTTCACTGTGATATATTCCCTAGGCTTGAGCTGATATTCAATATTATCGTATATTGCAGAAATTTCCCGCTCGTTCATGATATTTGATCATAATATGGGAAAAAAACAAAACAGAAACAAACACCTGAAACATAAAATACAACAATACGTGTTTTGCTCTCTATTGTACTCGTTTGGTGTCCACATGTGTATCAGGTCTATATTGCCAGGTCTATTTTATTTCCATTAATCACGTATGTGAAACTCACCAACTCTAAGATTCCCTCTCGTTTCCATCTGATGTGCTTAGATCTGAAAAGTGACATTTATTTGACGTTAACTATTATTTAACGCTTGATATTAGCGGCTTTTGATAAAAGATGGTGCCGGTGATTATGGTTTATTTAAAAATCGGAGTTTAAATTGGATGAGATGCTGAAGCCCAGACTGACAAACAGCTAACACTGTCAGCGACACATAATGGGTCATACTCACTAACAGGCTGCAGGAGTATGAGTCACCAAAAGATGAAGAGTTCAACAAGTAACTAAAAATGTTGGATTACTCACAGCAGCGCTTTTGGGCTGCACAACCATGTAAGGTTATGAGCACAACAACACCAGTGTGTGTGTGTGTGTGTGTGTGTGTGTGTGGAGAGAGAGACAGAAAACATCATGCAACACAAATAAGACGTCCGACAAAGAACAGAAACAAACTTTCATGATGACGTGACGTTACTGGTGGTATGTTCTCACACCTCGTGTTCTTTGGCCCGTCCCATTACTTCATAACACAAACGTGTTACATGCAGAGCAACGTTATTACGGCTTAATCTGGGATGAATGTAACTCAAGCTTCTTAATTAAAACTGTCAAACACTGTTAATCTTTTGTTTACTTAGCAAAAGCGTGCTAACCGCTGCGTAATCACAATCAAACAACGCTGCTGGCAAAATCTGTGTGATATCAATCCAAGTTACGCTATGGAGTCAAACTAATCCTGGGCCTCTGAGAACCTGTAATCAACACAGCAAACACAAGAAGAAAACACAGCTAACGGAGCAATGAGATGAAACACAAAAGGCGGCCACAGCAGGTGGTGCATTCCAAATATTCACTTTCTACTAGACTTCGGTAGACGGCCATGTTTTTGTTTTTGTTTTTTTTACAGTCAGAGACATTAAGGCGGCGGCAGCATGACTGTTCTTGCAGCTCAGCTCACCTCCACTGTCGTCTTTGTCCTCCTCCTGGCTATTAATGCCTTCTGTGCAGAGCCAGGAGGAGGAGGAGGAGGAGGAGGAGGAGGAGGAGGAGGAGGAGAAGAGGGGGGAGAAGTGACAAGCAGCTCGAGCCACGTCTGCACTAAGGCCGTGTTCATGTCAGCAGTACCTGCAGCGCGGCGCTCCACTCGCATTATCAAACACACGCTTTTTTTGTTTATATGTGGAAACAACTTCTGTTCGTGCTGAAACTATTATAGATTAATCAATACACAGAAAAAACTATATTCCATTTAAGTTTTATTTTTATATTATTATATTATTTAATACCAAAAAATGCTAAAATGTTCTCCATTCACCCTGAAACATCAAACTATTCAGTGTGAACATGAAAGACGAGTCTTTTTCACTTTTTTATTTACCTGCCTCGACTAACCTGTCTTTCTGCAAAGCCACGACATGACAACCGGTATCCATGTTCCAAGCTCGCTGAGTCTTCTGTGTCTGAGCGGCGGATTAAAAATCTGAGCGCCTCGTTTCATTCGAATAAAACAACGATGACTTTGCCAACCACTCAACAGAACCGACACAGGAGAGCTGTCAGAACCTCATGAGAGGTTTAATGCAAACACAAAACCACTGTTTTATCTTTCGGTAAATTTATTGAGGTGATTAAATTTTACCAGAAGAAAAACAAAAATAAAACACCGGTGTGATGTTGTGAAGAGATTCACTCAGTGTGATTGCATGCATGTAGGTACTCTACGAGTGTTAACACCTAATTATTATTCTGTCACGGTGCTTCCAAGCTCAGCTATGGCTTGATTTAAAAAAAATGTTCCCACTTTATTGACTGATGTTAAAATGTATTTTTGTAAAAATCTGTATTTTTGTAAGAATTCAGCGAAAAGCAAAACAGATAATTTGACAACTGAATTAACTGCCACTGTTCACAAAGACAAAGACAAATCTGTTAATAAGAATATTAGGAGAGAAAAATCAACAAACTAACATTATTATTAAATTAAAATGAAGATTTCCAATGTTTGTGATAGAAATGTAACGTTTTAAACTACTCTTGATGTATTTTAACTTTTAAAAAAGGACATTTTGGG